GGTGAGAAATCTTTTCCTACCAGTGCTGCACTCTTACCAATCATTTAACTGTGGTCCAATGATGACGCAGAATGGTGCACACAAATTGGAACAATGGCTAAGACACTGCACAGACTGACCACGGCTGAGAGCCCGGGCCCTAAGATCACTAAATCCAAAATCTAAGACCTAGTATCGAGTAACACTTTTTTTCCTTCCACACGTAGCCAGAGTAAACAGAAATCTAATATCATAAAGAATGAAAACTGAAGGAATGATAGACACATGTTTAGCAGGTGAACTCTCACAAGAGACATGGTGGCAATTTAGCTGCAGTGTACAGAAGACATGGCTTCACCCCCACAAATAAACAAAAATTTCCCTGAATGCAAAATTTATTTCCAATCATGTCATCCAGTTAATCCTGTGTGGATTTTGAGAAAAAATTTGAAAACATCCCAGGACAAAAAGGGCAGATATTGTAGGACCAAGGAGAGTTCAGAGTCTGCATACGTAGAAGATGGAAATGGCATAATATGCTGACACTTCCAAAAGGAAAAGTGGATAAAGCCCAGTTAGGAGGACAGAGAATGAAAAGGTAGTATAATAAATATAGCAAAAGATCACACTAGTACACAAAGCCTAGACGGGCTCACCATACACTAGATATACCAATGAAAATAATCTGGAATCTTGAAACCAGGGCAAAAGTATTCCACTGTAAGATGAAAAGAGAAAAGGAAAGGAAAAATAATAATGTTCTTGGACAATTGCACATCACCAGCCAATCAGTGGGAGACCTTGAGTTTAATCTCAAGCACTGTCAAATTAAAGAAAATAAAAACCATAAGAATATATGAAAAAAATGATAAAAGTATAAAAGCTTATCATTTATGCAGATAAAATTAGCAAAAGAAGAAGTGTAAAAGTAATATGTGGAGCCAGAGAGATGACTCAGTGGAATAAGCGCTTCCCTGGCAAGAACAAGGGCCTGAGTTCAATCCCCGGTTCTGCAAAAAAAATGTAATATCCCATCCTCAGCATTGGAGAGTTGTTCATCACATACTTTCCTTGAGAGCATAGGGAGTTTTCCTGACTACACAGCATGTCTCTTGTCTGACTTGCTCTTTGCAGACTTTTCTTTATATTTTCCTTTATTAACAAGAGTTAAGGATAGACTGAGGGGAAGTATAAAACTGTATCAAGGGAAAGACCCAAATGGGTGTGGTAGTGGGCGTCACCGTGCAGCTTCTGAGTCCTGGCCTTCTGAAAATCCTAGGTGCAAGCAATGGACTCAGAGGTTCAGGTCCTTGGAGGAGGTCACGGAGCACCACACCCACAAATGAAGAAGATCACCAGCTGCCTGAGAAAATGGATGTCAGTGCTTCCAACCCTGCTGGAGAATTTGACTGAAGCCAAGGTGGGCCTATTAATAGCGTCAGCAGAGAAAAGTCCTTCCCCACATAGAAAGATAAGAATAAAGAGTACAGGCACAAAGAAAGAGACCAAGTAGCCCCTTATTCTCTTTGTAGTGGCTGACTCACTTGCCACATTCAGAATGTAGGGGGCTACATCCCCTTCTGTCATAGATGTCCAACTCTTCCCAGGCTGGTAGGAATCACACCATGCCTGGCATTGGGAAACATCTGTCAAGTTGTTGTTCATTTTGTCCTTCAGCACATTATTTTCATCCTCAGGCTTTGGAAGATCCCTGTAGGTAAAACAAGAGATAAATAATATAAGATCGGACAGCTCAATTCCTTGGTCCAGAGGGGAAGACTGAATGGGAGGCCACCACAAAAGAGCAGCCATTGCTTCAAAGAGAAGGCACACAATCACATCTGAGCACAACAGAGAATGACTATAACAGCAGTGTGGGCAGCACAGGGGATGGGTGAGAAAGCAGCAGGGGCTAGATGCATGGGGGTGAGCACATCTGATGAGAGGGAGAATCTGCACTCCAACTAGGATGGAGTGTTTCAGGGGCACAATGACAAGGATCCCTGTCTACAACCCTACATCACTGGACGTCACATCATTGGGAGATCATTTCTGAGGTTCCAAGGGCTCTAGGTTATAATACATGAAAAGAAAAAATTAGTGGAAACCCAACAAAGAAGTACAAAGAAACAAAAATCATTCCTGGTTGGCAAAGAAGAGTAAACACTAATATGGAGCAGTGTCTGCTATTCCTGGGACCTGAGATCTCCAAGAGTTACCATTGCATTCACAGCCTGTGATGTTCAGATTCACCTGGGCACCATGCGCTGTGCTTCCTTGTCTTCATTCCCAGCTTCCTGAGGATCTGCAAATATATACAGACACAGAGCATCACCACAGGAATTCATCCGATCCACTGCACACACTGAGCCAAGTTAGACACAGACATACAGGGGATCTCGGTCTGAGGGCAGGACACTGAGGACCCTATCATAGAAAGTCTGCTGCTTCCTACTAAAAGTATTAGATGGCTTGCTTTTCTCATCACCTGGCCAGCTCTCCCTAATCTATTCAGTTAATACCACGTTGGAATTTGCAGTGAATGTAATAATTGTTCAAAATAAGTCATTGTTTTATAGAAAAATATCTACAAGACTGAAGTGTTCCATGATATATGCTGGTTCTTATTTATAAAGTAGAGCTAATCCACTGAGAATAAACTGACAAATAGAGTCGCTAGAAACTCCAAAAAAACGACCTTTAGTAATACTCAAGAAAATATATTGCATTCACCAGCTGAAAATGTCAGGTCTCCCTGGGCAGAGTGTTGGACACTTGTAATCTCAGTACTCAGAAGGTTGAGATAGGAACATCAATGTGAATTCCAGAACAGGATAAGCTCCATAGTGGTACAGAGCCTGCCTGAACTACACTGGGAAAATCTGTCTCAAAAAACACAAAACAAAACAACATAAAAAACTGGCAAGGATCATCTTAAGGATTAAAGCCAGGCACAGTCAAGAAGAATTTAAATTCTACCAAAAGTTGATACCTTACAAGAGAGAAGACAATGTAGAAGAAAAACAGCTGGTGGCACAGATATGAAGAACCCTGACAATGATATCTCTAATGATAAAATCAATAGAAAAATCATTTTGGGACATTCACTATTGTTTAAAGTACAAGATTTGGTCTACTATTTGCAAGTCCTATGCAGGGCAATCAGGGATCCAGCCCTGAGAGCCTGAGTATGTGCAAATCTGTCAGGCAGAGGCACCACAGGGGAAAAACCAGCTACAAATTCTTCAGCCTCATCATTCTGTCTGCTCCCATGTTCAATATCCTGAATTTTGTTTTGGATACAAAGAAATAAGGCTTCATAAGGGTAATTCACTTCACAAGGGAAGACTCACAAGTTTCACACAGAGAAAAGAATAGTTCGTCATCATCAATCAGATCGCCAAGAGTCTCCAGGATGTTCCACTCATCACAGCCCTGGGAGGAAGACTTGGGGTCTCCCAACAATGAGGCCTGCAGGATTGCTTCACCTTTATCCTCTTTTGCACCCTCATGGTTCATGCTGGTGACATAATGAATACAGTTAGACCAAGGAGGATGCATTATGATATTCCCAGGGGAACACCCAGAGGTGCAGAGGACTGGTCCTACCAGGTAAGGGGCACCACCTGAAGACAGAAGGGAAATTATTGTGTAGGAGCTTCCTGCCTGAGGTCAGGGCAGGGAGCAAATGCACAGTGCAATGACTGAAAATAAACTGATGGAAAAGGAGTTGCAGCATGCTACAGGAAACAACCAGGACACTAGGGCAAACAAAAAGCACAGCAGTGACCCTACCCTGCCTATAGTGTTTATTTTACAACCACAAATAAGGTCCATAATTCTGACAAACTGGAGGGTCCAACAGACCTTGTACATAGGAAGACACTATATACATTGTTACATGATATAATTTTTTTCAGTCTGGTCAAGTACCATGTTATATAATCGTGTAATATGCTATGATCCCTCATATAATCAGCATGCATTATATCCTAAACTCAACCATAGGACAAAGGAATGCAGATTATTTGATTTTCCTATATCTGTAAGGTGACTTGTTGCACTGAATTGCAGATGAGTATTTCAGGGACAATGGACACATCCTTAGAAGAGGTACTTCATGGGGTGAGACTATGTTGTCACAATGGCAGGTTTTTCTACATTTCAGTGTAATATCTATGGGTACTTTAAATCCTCTGTTGTGACCATTTGGGAACTTCTTCATATTTTACTCATCCCAGCCAGGTCCCTGGATACACATCTTGTTACCTGGTGGTCAGGAATTAAATTTCTATTTTAGACTCTTCATTTTCATCGTTGACTGAAATCAAATTCAGAAATGTCAGTTAGGAAAAAAAAGAAAGAAATGCCAGTCGGGCCTTAAGCATTAAATAAAATTAACAAACAAGTTTTTTTAAAGAAATAATAAAAGTATGCAATGAGAAGATAAACATAATTAAAGCACAGAAACAGAAAAAACTAGAAGAGAAACAGAAAAAAACAAAAAGAAACAAAAATCCTCAGAAGATACTTTTTTTCCCCACAGACTCTCCAACATTTGTTGTTGGGTTATTTCTTTATGATAGCCATTCTTTCTGGGGTGAGATGGTATCTCAGTGTTGTTTTAGTTTGCATTTCACAGATGGCTAGTGATGTGGCACATTTTTTCTTATATTAATTCGCTTCTTTAATTTCATCCAATGAGAATTGTGTGTTCATCTCAGATGCCCATTTCTGGACTGG